CCCTGAAACTCAGCCCTTGGGAAGGCTCCCAGGAGAAAGTGACCTGCTCCTTTCATTTTCATTTTGTGTTTTGCTGGGAATGGGAGGAAAGAGGTAAGGGGATGAATCTCAGGCCCTGGGCTCATGGGTGGTCTCTCTTGCTTGGTCAAGAATTTCAAGTAGCCAGGCAGGTAGCCAGCCAGGTCCCTTTTTCCCAGTCTCAAGTGTCATAGCCTCCCCACTGCTCAGCAATGGCTACAGCCAAGAAGTGGCAACCCCCTCCCCCCACCCCAACCCCACTCCATTTCCTCCTCCCTAGTTACTAGTGATCACTGGGTAGGAGAAGGGGACTGGGCCACAAGAAAATCCCATGAGGGAAGAATGATTGTCTCCTCAGTTCATTCTAGGCCACAGTAGGCCCTCAATATTTTCTGAATGAATGCAAATATTTTTCTTATGACTGTTCAACTAGACATTTTCATTTGTCACAACTGCATACTCTTTTTATTTTCAGTCACTTCATCCAGACCCTGAGTAACCAGACTGTCCCATTACTGCCCAAACCTAGATCAGTAGACTTTAAGAGCAAGTTAGACACAGCCCAGATGTTTTCAGTTCCTTTTCAGTGCTCTGTCTGGAGCACTCTTCTTAGCTGTTCATTTGGGAAATAGTGCTATCAAATATTTAAGGCGAAAGCCCTGGCTCCCAGTGTCCACTTCTCTTGAGTATACACCACTGAGTGTGCTCTGGTTTGGATATAATTTGTCCCTCAAAGTTTCTTGTGTTATAAGCTTGGTCCTCAGTGTTGCAGTGTTAAGGTTGCAGAATTTTAACAGATGGGACCTAGTACATTATAAAGTATCCAGCTTTGGGCATTTTATTATAGCAAGAGTAAAAGGACTAATACAGAGTGGAATTCCTGGGTATATGGGACTCTATGTTTAAGACTATAAAGAATTAACAGCTGGTTTCCAAAGTAGTTGTACCGTGCCATTTTACAATCCCATCAACAGTACACGAGGGTTCCAATTTCTTCACACCTTTACTGACCTTGTTATTGTCCTTTTTAAAAAATGATAACCATCCTAATGATATAAAGTAGCATCTCGCTATGACTTTCACTTGCATTTCCCTAGTCACCAGTGATGTAGAAAACTCTTCATGTACTTTTGGCTGTTCAAATACTTTGCCCGTTTTTAATTAGGCTTCTTATCTCTTCTATTATTGAGTTATGAGAGTTATATTACACTCTGGATAGAAGTCTCTTATCAGGTATATGATTTTAAAATATTTTTGCCTATTCTATGCATTATTTTTTCACTTTATTGATGGTACCTTTTGAAGTACAGAAGTTTTTAATTTAATGAAGTTTGATTTGTGTGTGTCTGTGTGCTTTCCTCAGTTGTTTGGGTTTTAGAAATCATTGCTTAATTCAAGATCACAAAAACTTATGCCTATGTTTCCTTTTATGCGTTTTATAATTTTAGCTCTTATACTTATGTCTTTGATCCATTTTGAGCTAATTTTTGTATGTGTTGTATGATATTCTTAAACATTTAGACATCATTAAAGTCTCTAGTTTTGTCAGATTTTTATCAATTTGTTAACATTCTGCTGTTTATAAAATTGTATCTCACACATGGCTTATAAATTGCATTTTTCCGATTGGTGAAATTGAACACCTTTTCACTTCATTTTTGGTGGTGCTGGGGTTTGAACTCAGGGCCTCAAGCTTGCTAGGCAGGTGCTCTGCCTCTTGAGCCACTACACTAGCCCTTTTCATTTCTTTCCTGTTTATCATAGTCCAGTCAATCTGCAAACAAAATAACACAAACTGGCTTATAAGCAACAGAAATTTATTTCTCAAGTACTGGAGGCTGGAGGCTCAAGAGAAGGTGACAGATTTGGAGTCTGCTGAAGGCTCCCTTCCTGGTTTGCAAGTGGCTGTGTCTTCAGTTGGTAGAAAGAGCAAGGGCTCTCTCTCTCTCCCCGCCCCTCCCGCCCCCACTTTCATTCACCTATTTTACAAGGGCATTAGTTCTTTCATGGATGCTTTGATCCCATCCCCTAATGTCTCCCCCCTTAGCGGTGACTATTTCATGTGAATCTTGGAGGATCACAAACATTTAGACCAAAGCATTGGTTATTTGGATTTTCTGCTATAATTTCACTTCTTTGTTTGTTTTTTAATTTGTTTTTCCCTTTGGTCGGTAAGAATCGTTTATATATTCCAGATTCTATTCTTTGTCAATGGTATTGACTGAATATTTTTTTCAGTCTGTGGATTGCATTTTCACTTTGTTCAATGGTCTTGAATTTTTTTAAGCAACCTAATTTATTAATCTTTCCTTTAATTATTTTCGGTGTGTTTGTGAATAATTTAAGAAATTTTCCTTACCCAGAGACTTTAAATATGTCCAAATGTTTAAAACTTTTGCTTTTCATATCCAGTCTTTAATCTACCTGAATTTATTTTTGCATATAAGCAGGTGTCCAAATTTAATCTTTCTTTTTCCAATGAGGAAGTCAATTTTTCTTGATTCCAATGGTCGGAAAGTCACGTGTTTCCCTTTGATTTGTAACATCAATTCTCTCATATTTTAAATTTCCATTTATGTCTTGGTCCCTTTGGATTCCTTGGTTTATTTATCTATACCTACATCAAATATCGATGTGTGTATTATTACAGTTTGATAACAAATCTTGATTCTTTTACTTGTAAAAGTAAAGTCATAAAGTTGTAGAAGAACATCTAATCTCAAACCCTGGCCCTTGCCAACAGGTGCTGGTCTGTGACCAGGCTGGGCCTGCCTACAAGTCTGTCTCACTGCCATAGGTATTGATGGTTGACATGAGACTAATCATAACCCTTCCCAGGAATGTTCTCAGTAAAGTGAGAGAAGGAATGTTCTCTCTCCTTCTCTAGTTTGGATTGATACATACACACTTCTGGAAATGCTGGTGTCACGTCTCCCACCAGCAGAGAAGGCTGACAAACTAAACCACCCGGACAAGTGGAATTTTCATAGGTTGTTAGAGGGTGTAGCGATTCAACCACTTTGGGAAAGAACTTGGTTTCTTTTATTTTTTTTTTCCTGGCCAAGAGATCCTTTATTGCCGGGTGGGAGAGGGAGAGAGCCGAGATAGAGAGAGAGAGAGAGAGAGAGAGAACTTGGTTTCTTAAAAACGTTAAATGTGAGCTTTTCATGTAACCTTGCCATTTTATTTATATTCTAGAAAAATAAAATCATATATATATGAACAATAGAGAGAATGAATTTCATCAAAGTACATTATATGAATGTATGGGAATGAAACTCCTTTGTATAATTAATATATGCTAATAAAAAAAGAGTAAACTTAAAAAAAAAAAAAAAAACTAACTAAACCACCAGGCAGAGAAACACAGAGTCCTGAGGGAGTTCTGGCCAATGGATTGCATTGATCCTCCCCAGACTCCAGAGCTAATTAATTCTGAGATCTGACTTTTTTTCCTGGTTCATGTCATTTATTGAACAATCACTCTATGGCTAGGAGAAGACAGGCAAAATGCCCTCACTCAGGGTCTATGGTAGGAATAAAGCCAGGGGTCCTACTGCCAAGGTGCATCAGTGAAAATGCTCACACGGTGTGTTCATTGTTATTACTCTAAGGTAAAAATTCAATGAGATAATAATTACATAACTGGCAAGGAGCTAATACCATCATATACATCATGTAATTTGCACATGAAAAGGTCCCATGGCATAAAAAGAAACAAAAATTAGGGAGTTTATAGTAAAATAAGGTGTTGGTGCTAGAATGTAACTCAGTGTACAGCACTTGCCTACTGTGCACAAGCCCTGGGTTACAGCCCCAGCACTACAAAATAAAAATTAATAAAAGTACAGGAAAAAAAATTAGCTGTAAACGGAAGCTTAATTATCTTTATGGAGTTAAATTACCATAGCTTTCAAAGAATCTTAGTAGTCGGGATCACCTCTATGTTCAAATGTAAGTATTATGAAAAAATATTTAAGTATAAAACAATAGTAGTCCCTCAGGTTAAATTCCTCCCTGGAGATTTTAATACAAATGAGTAAAAGTAATAAAAAAACTACAACTGAACAATTACAAGTAAAGAAGATGAATTTAAGTATGATATATTTGATTTATTGTAAGAACTTTTTTTTTTTTTGTGGTACTGGCTTGAACTCAGGGCCTATACATCAAGCCACTCCACCAGCCCTTTTTTGTGATGCGATTTTTTTGAGATAGGGTCTCTTGAACTATTTTCCTGGGCTGGCTTCAAACCATGATCCTCCTGATCTCTGCCTCCTGAGTAGCTAGGATTACAGGTGCTTGACACACTGGTGCCTGGCAGTAAAAACTTTTGTAAATGGCACAATGTATCCCCTGCACAACAATAAAACACATGCATACATACATGCATACATACATACATAACTAAATAAATAGTTACCAGTAAGGAAAAGCCTTTCTCCCCACGTGAAACATAATCCCACAAAACCATCCAGTGTTCAAAACTTTTTGCCCTTCAAAGACAGGTGTAACAGGTCCTGTCCAGGGTGTGTTGGGGGGTGATACCAATTGGAGAGGGAGGGGGAGGGGAAAGGGGGTAGGAAGGTGAATATGGTGCAAAAAATGTGTACATGTGTGTATAAATGCAATGCAAAAATGATACTTGTTGAAACTATTCCAGAAATTGGGGGAGGTGAGATAATGGAGAGCAGTCGAGAGGGTGAATTCAAGCATGATATAGTTGAAATATTGTATGTAAGAACCTTTGTAAATACCACAATGTACCCCCATCCAGTATAACAATTAAGGGGGAAAAAAAGAACAGGTAGGGTGTAACACCATCATGACTGAGGACAGGACTGAAATTAAAAGATAGACAAGTAAAATGGAAAGCTCCCTCTTGGTGACCTTTCTCCAGGGCCACCACTCTAGAAGGGTCTTTGGCAGGTTCTTCTCCTGGTTTGCATCTGGTTTTACAATCACTCATCTTGGCTACTCCTTCACTCTGCCTCCCTGGACAGGCTGTCTGCCTTCAAGGCCTCAACCAGCCTCTTCCTGGCTTTCTTCACCTTCCTCATCTGTCTCCAGATGTCTGCAGATGTCACCTCTTGGTGGTACAATGATGGAGGAAGACTTCCTGGGATTATCTGTCTCTGAAATGGAACCTGGCCAGGGCTGAGCTCTGGGCAAGTCCACAGATCCTTGGCACCAACGTGACCCAGGGACTCACCCTGAATTCTCAGGGAAATAATCTTCGAGGTGCTTTCAAAGTCTAGAGGAGTTAAATAAAAGCTGTCCTTCACTGCTGTGCACCTGGAGGCCCTGCAGTCTCCTGACCACAGTTTCTGGGGCTTCTCCAAGTTCTCCTCTGCATGTCTGCACCTGACCTCGTTGCCAGGGTGGACAGTGATTCTTGTCATCAGTCTCTTTAAGATGCAACTGGTCATCCTCACTGGCAGTACAGACCCTGCACCAGCTCTGCACCTGCCCTTGGTCAAATGGACCCTTTCCTTCCTCTTCTACGCATCAGGTCTCATGCTTCTTTTCATCCTCCACAGAACACATGGACTCGGGAAGGCATTGATTGCAGGCTTCCCCACAGCCATGAAGTTTGTCCTGCCAGCGCCACTGCTGAGGTGCAGACAGGTTGAGAAAGAAATCTAGCTAATACAATAAATTTCAAATGTCAATAGATGATAAAAATAACCCTCATCATCAGTAAGATCAGTCATTTGCTGGTTTTAGGATCCTGTTAGCAGTCCTTTTATAGAGTGCTACATTTTAACATTTTGTCTTAAAGTTTTGGATTGGCTACATTTCCCCTCAACTTTTGAAAAAAAACAGTTGTAATTTCAATCTTCCTAGCACTTCCTACTCCCTGAAGTATTCATCTACTAGTTTTTAATATTTAAGTGAATTCAAAGATTTTGACACAAAATATTGGCCTCTCTGCTAGGCACATTTGCAGTCAATCCACCTCTATCATAAAGTAAGATGATCCTGAAACCACAGTCTCCTTTCATAGCAAAATATTTGGGATATTCTTTAACTTCCTTCATGTGATGATGAGCTCTTAAGGCCCTTTTGAGAGAATTAAGCTATGAACTGATAATGACCAAAGCAGCAGGCCACACATGAATATTAGAGGGTTGAAAATAGGACACTGTAGTGGCTGAGAGCTCAGGCTCCGGAACCAGCCCGTGCGGGATCACATTCTAGCTCTGTTCCCTAGTGGCTCTACCTTGTGACAGTCTTATGACTTCTTGGTCATGAAGATGATACTATGAAGTTGTTAAGCTTATTCCATGAGATAATCTGTATAAAATGCTATCTATGTGCGGCTGATACATTCATACATTCATAGTATTAATTATTCTAGGCTTTCCCTGATTCTAGGACCTCACTCTCTATTCTTATTTCCAAAGCTAACTCGTCAGAGAACAACTTACAAAAACATTCTGAGAACTGCTTTAATGGCTTCATAACACCTAAACGGTTTCTGTCTTAGAGAAGAATGTAGAGGAAAAGCATGTTATCTTACCAATATCCATTTCCAAGAATACAAAACAAATACATTCTCTCTGAAGCTGGGATTAGGAGCATGTTACTCTGCAGAAGATTGTAAATACTTCTTACCAGAAAAAAATAGATGCATATACTTCAAGAAAATTCTGAGCTATGTTAAATTTCCAACCCCAAATGCCAGATTTCTGATATCAAACATCAATTATGTATTTATTTCTTCAAATGAATGTCTTTTTTCTTTTCTTTTTTCCTTTTCTCTCTTTCTTTCAATAGCTGTTTTTAAAATTGTAGCCTGAATCCTAACTGAGTGATATAGATGATAGACGATAAATAGATAGATATAGATAGATAGAAAGACAGATGATAGATTGATAGGTAGATAGATAGATGATGATGATAGATAGATAGGTGATAGATGGATAGATGACAGACAAATAAAAGTACTCAAACGCAGTCTGAGTTCACAATAAAGCTATTGGTAAGTTTCCCACTATAGCTTACCTTATAGAACACAGTGCAGATGGAAAAGCACATTACAATGCAATTATGGCCTCTAGCAAATTTCACATTCCAAGTAATGGCTAGTTTGTTTTCTAGTTTGAGATTGTCTGCTCTAGACCAGAGCCCATTACTGTCTACAGCCCAACACTCCTTCTGGCTGGGGCCCCATCCTCCCACCTCACACCCAGCCTCTTCCATTCCTCTGTGACAGTCATCAGATGTCCTGTGGCCTCACACTGTCCCAACCTCATTCTTCACAAAACTACTTGCAGCTGATACCCAAATTGAAAGATAACAAGAAGCCACAACAGAATTCCTACACACCAACATCAAAGTTGAATTAACATTCTCTCTTCCCACCCTGTGAATAGAAACGTCTACATAACATGCTCTTAACAGGTTTCCCAAAATTTCCAAAATAGTGAAGATTTTCTCTTGAAAACAGATAGGACTCCAAGATCACGACTGATTTCTCACAGAGTCAGGATGGTGTGGTAAGTCATCCACAAGTTCTGCTTATTTGGAGACAGTACAAATTTATGATTATTTTCAGCTGAACTAAAAAAAAAAAAATCCTAAGCTTGCCAAAAGTCTCAGTTTCCCTTCCCCATTGCTATTCTTTCTCTGGACCTACCCAACAAAACTTCAGGCCCGAGTTAAATTCGGGGTCTGGCTTCTCACCCCGGATGCCTGTGATGGGAGAGATGGCCCCAGTGGCTTGAAGTCTTTCTTGGAAGAACATCCGGGCCATGGCCCCTCTTGTCTCCTGAAGCTTTCTGCTCACTCTATTTCCTCCTCCCCTTCCCCAGCTTGAGAGAGAAGGCTGGAAAACCCTCTTCTGATACTTAGACACACAGCCTTGCAAACCTCCCTCCCTTCTTCCCTTATTTCCTCCCTCCCTGTGTCTTCTTCAACATCATCATCACACACACAGAGCAGATGGAAGATCCCTCGACCTGTGAGAGAGTGAGACTCTTCTAGAATTCGAAGAAATCCTTCTTTGGCAATCAACTTGACTCTCTTTCTAGTACCAGTCAAACAGCCAAACTGTGACAAGCAGAAGTCAGCACTGGGTGTTTCTTCTTCCTTGTGACCTAGCTCTTCAACCCTGTGGAAATTCTTCCTTGCCAGTCAAATCCTTGGAAACTGCCCTCACCAGGATCGCCAATGACCTCCTGTGACTAAACACAGAAGACACTGCCATGTTTACTCCTTTGATCATACTGCACCATTTTGTCTAGTTGACAAAAAAATTGCAATCCTTGTTATTCGCTACGAAGAAATATATATCAAGAAATGAAGCCAGAGAGTGACAAGGGGAGTGAGGATAGTAAGTCCCCTTTTAAATAAGGAGTTTGACAAGGTGACATTTATGCAAAGTCCTGAAGGAGATACACACATAAGTCATAGGGATATATGAGGAAAGAAAGTTCAAAGCAGAAGAAAAGCCAGTGCAAAGACCCTGAGGTAGGAACATGCTAGTGCACTCAAATTACAAAGGAAACCAATGCAGGTATAGAAGAGCAGAAGAGACTGAGGAAAGGAGGATGGGGTCGGGCATGGCAGGAAGGAGACAAGGTAATACAGAATAAATGTGCCATCAGAAGGGCCTCATTTTACTTCCAGTGAGCAGGGAAGGGACCATCTGTTCTGCATTTGAACAGCATCACTCTAACAAAGAACACAAGCTTAGGGGCAAAGGTGAACTCCATTATGAAGTCCACTCAGAACAGCAGCACAGAAGGGAGGGGCAGCAGTTGCAGTTGAAGTGGTGAAGTGACCAAATTTGATGGTGGGAAACCCCTTCTTCACCCTCACTGCTTAACAACCCTTTCCCTAATTGCTTTCAGGAAGCAAACCTCTCATTTTCCTCTACTGCTCTGGCCTCTGCTTTTCAGTACCTGTTTGCAGGCTCTTCTTCTTCCAGACACTGTGGTGGCTTCTAAGTCATATGTGGCACTCCTGTCACCTCTGCATGTTCCCCCAGATCACAGCATGCTCATCCTGGCTCCCATGAATTGACATCTCTACACCTGACACTCACACCTTGGTCCTCAGCTCCTGACCTGCACTTACCACAGGCCAGCCCCATGGGACTCTTCAAACCCTACCAACTCCAAAGTGACTCATTCATTGTTCAACATATTCAAAATGGACACATATTCAAAATGGACTCATCTTCTGGCTTTGCACACCTGTTCTGCATTTTGAACTTCTCTGTGTTGGCAAAGGTTACCTCCCTGCTCCCATGCTACCCAAACCAGAGTTGGGAACCAACTGAATGAATTGCCTGACACACACTGGACAACTCCGGCCACCAGCCTCAGGACACCTCCACCACCCTCTTTCCTGTAGATCAGGTTGTGCCACCCCACTGCCCCTGGTTACTTGATTTCTTTTCTGGCGAACTCTATGCCAGGTTCTTAATCCCAGAGTAACACAAATTCAAGTGTTCAAGCAATGCACTTTTTTTATGCTATGTAACTAAACTTAATTTCGATTGCTGTCAGTTTGGGGTTACCTATGGTATTTCAGCTTCCCTGTCCTTACCTGACTGTACCAACTCGGCACAAGGAGAATAGTGCAAAGAAGACATGGTGGCTCCAGGGGTCTCTGGGAGCATGGAATCTCTGCTGACCCCAGGCTGGATATGGGACACTCAGCAATGCCATCCTGCTGGTCTAGTTGCCCACAGCCAGCTCCAGTCTCCCCAGCCTACACCTCAAAACGGAAGGAAAATGAGTGTGTCCTGCTCCATCTCTAGATTGCACCACAAATGCAAGCACCAAATATCCTGTGCTCTTGGATTGCCTCATCTCTCTAGGGGCACAACCATGAATCTGTGACCATAGCGAAGTCCACCTGGTGCAGGGCAAGGCAGGGCAGAAGTGGGGATTTATTGACAGTTGGAGAGCCCAGCTGCCTCTGGGAGAAGCCCATACCCATCAGCCCTCATCCAACCCACTTTCTCTCCCAGCCCAAGTACTCTTAACTACACTTGTGTCAGAAAATAGCTTCAGCCATCACACACCGGGCCAAATCTAGTATTTGTGTATAAACTCCTGAGACAGTCTAGGTTCAAACTTTTAGAAAGTCAAGAGCTTTTAAAAGTCAAGTTTATTCAGTGTGTCAACTGTGCCCACAGACAACAAGAGATACTGCACTGGAAGAAGAGCGACATGGGCAAGGAGGGGGAGAGGCAGGGAATAAAATCTCCACTCATTGCCCACATCTCACTCCATGACACCTGGGTGCTGCCTTCTGGGTCTCCAGGCACTTTAAGTTCTGGAGAACTTAAACTGGGCCATTTACCCAATGGCCAGTTCTACTGCCTCAAGCCCCACCTGGCCAGGAAGTTTCTGGAAGGAGGTATCCCTCACTCCTCTCCTCATTCAGTGTACTTCCTCCTCCATCTCACGTC